ATCCGCGGTAAAAATAGTTATGGCCGCCCGCTACAACAGGCCGACTGGTTGTCTGCAGTTGCTATTGGTCACTTCTCGTCTTATCGGACACCGTTCCGATCGTTCTTTCCACAGATCGTGGATGCAGGGGTACGGATAGTACCCGTCGACTTTGCGAAAAACAAAACTTGCGTCAAACGGAAATTTCTTTACTGATAGCAGACCTGGGCAAATTTTATTTGTAACGAAAATAGGAAGTAATGATTTGAAATAATTTCTTTCGGAACTTTATTTTCAACACGATTATTTGAAAATCCAAATATTACCGATTCATTTGAAATAATAGCAATTTCAAATAATGAATTATTTTGTTACTTTTGTATTTCAAATTTGGCAAAAGAAGTAATACTCAAAATAATATGCAACAAAGAGATTTTATTGTAAATATCGATACTTTTGTTTCGATACCGAGTATTTTTAGTATCGATATTTTCGGTTGCGTTATATACTCGGAATCGAAAAAAAGTACTCATACCGAATGGAGCGAGTAATCGATATGAAAGTTAATGAATGCGAAGGTGCTTGTCGTCCAGTTATATTACTTTGTTAATATATGTCCGTTAATAAATGTTTATTAATAAAATATATCTTTGTTAAAATTAGACAGGGACAAATTCATTATCTAGATCAAGAATTTCGAATAACAAGTAAAACATAAAAGAGCAATTTATCATTTTTCATCGTTTAAACGTAAAAATTCCAATTTTTATAACACAATAATATTTCTGCCTGAGTCGATATTTGGCGAACAGTTATTTAATCTCATAAAGTGTTTAATGTTGAGGATGACGCCTTTGAATACTGTAGCTTTCCACTATATATTATTAAAAAAAATTCTGCTCGATTCTGGTTCAAATATATTATATTAACAAAAAAAATTTGTATTCATGTTCCTTCGATAGAAGTAGGTATCGAGACTTCTGATACGAGACTAAGTAAATATCGATAATTTTTTTTCGATACGTGTTACGAGTAAAAGTATCGATACCTTGACGGTACCGGTTTATCCCTACCTAGGCGATGCTCCAAATTCGGCAACCTTTCCCTATATATCACGCGTGGTCCACCTGTCGACTCATTAGCGCGAAGTCTTGTCGCGTGAAAATTCAAAAGAACGACTTCCGTTCCGTTATCGAGGCAGCAACGGTTAATGGTCGTCGTGGCCTTTCGTCGACACGTGATCGTTCCCGTTGCATACTGATCTTTCGACCCCACGAGCGCGCGCGCAATTTAATCAGGACTATCGAGACAGGTGATTTTCGCGGTGTATCTGGGTCGGGGAGAGTATATTGACCTCGCCTCGGTATAAATAGTACCCAGCCGTGTACATAATTGTTCGCGGGAAAAACGATTTTCGGGTTTCCATTATCGAAATATATCACGCTAGTGTTCGGGACTGATACTGGCCGTAAATTTCGATTTGGTGTCGAGTAGTATCGAAGAGATAGGTATCGAAAAGTATCGATATCCCTCTCGATACTCGTACGAAAGTATCGATACTTGTTTCCATACTTATACGACAGTATCGATAAATCTTTCGATACATATACGAAAATATCAATACTTGTTTCAATACTTAAAGGAAAGCATCGATTACCTCTTTCGATACATATACGAAAGTGTCGTTACATGTATCGATACGCCTACAAAAATACTGGTACCTATTTGACACTTCTAGAAAAGTACTAATGTATATTTGATAAGTCTGGAAAATAGTGATACCAATATTGTAACGATGACATAGAAATTCATGTATTCATAAAGTCCTCGAAGAATTCCGTTCTATCGTTCATGGTATCGATACCTACTTGGTTGCTTTCGAATTCATGTATTGCTTGGTATCGCTTCAAAGGACATCGGAATGTCGATTGAAGAGGTATCGGTATTGAAACGCTGATACGGAGTATCAAAAACTTCGACGCTCTGCGAATACGTAGACGTATCGAAACAGGTTTCGATACTTTCGTGTAAGTATCGAAACAGATATCGTTGCTTTCGTATAAGTATCTGAAGAGGTACCGATGCTTTCGTGTCAGTATCGAAACGGGTATCGACACTTTTGTATAAGTATCGAGAGTACTTAGGTATCGAATTGTTTCAATATCAGAAATACGTATCCTATCAGTCTCATCACTAATAACTCCCAGCAGCCGTCCCTCCGTTCCCCGTTCAACCGCGTCTTCGTTAGGTTCTGTCTTTCGTTTTTTTTTCTTCTGGCGAGCAGTAAAGAAGGACTGTGGCGACGGGGGTGTCACGCACGAAAATAGTAGCACGCCGACGATGATATCAGATTTGATATTTGGCCTCATTAGAAACGACCCAGGCAACCACGCCGTTTGTCTTGCAGCTTTCATTCGCACGACAGGGTACCCGCAGCACTCCGCCGGTGTCTATTTAGTGACATTCTTCCGCGGGCTGGCTCACGTGATATACACAGAACGGTGTTTAGCTACAGGTGTTGGAAGCTTCAATACGTTGGCGCCTGTAGTCGCAGATCTCTGCGTCACGGGCGGGGGGGGGGCTAAAGGTGTAACGCCACATGGGTTCATTTCACGCGAATTCGGACACTTCTTAGAATGACGTTTTGGATTTTAGTCTAACTTGGATATGTTGTAGTCATTAGTGATATACATATAAACGTATATGGAAGGATTTTTCAAAATTTTGACAATTGTTGATTTCACAGTTGTTTAAAAGATAGCGACAACCTTTTTGAAATAAATCATAACTGTTGAACTACTAAACCGTTCGAAATGAGATTTGTGAGCACTTACAGTGGAGATATAAGTGTACCTAATAAAAATTATTTCAGTAGAGAAAAAATACTTTTTAACCATTTATTTTGCAATTTTTTAAAGGAAATTCAATTTTATGATAGCAGGGCACTGCTGAATTTTTTTTTAATGAGGATATAGTCCTATTTGTTCTCTTTATGGACAAATTTTGAAAAATATGTTCATTTCGAAATTGACTATATGAAAAGTAATTGAAGTTAACCCTTTAAGCGTTTTATTTCATTTTGAAAACGTGCACTTCTGTGCTTAATTATTTTTAAGCTATGACGAGTATATTCGACAAAATCAGAGTGAATGAATTTGCTGTAGAATTGGAATAAAAATTGATAGCACAATAGCCGCACGCCCGGTATAAAGTAAAATTTTTAAAATTATATTCTTATATTTTATGTCTAATTATATAATAATAAAATAATTACAATACAAAAAATAAAAATATAAATAAATATAAAAATAAATATAACACCGTATACTTTATAAACAAGAAAGTATTTATAAAGTGACTCATAAAAACAGGAGCAAAAGTAAGAATTTCTATCTTTTCTTAAATATCTCATTGGATTAAGAATAAAATAGAAATATAGTCCTATATTATATGTATTTCACAGAGCCCGTATATAGATTATTAATGCATCAAATGAGCATTCTAGTAAATGAAAGACATCATTACTAAAACAAAGTGTCTCTCGTGATTGCTCATAAGTTGTAAATAATTCTCAAGCGAGAGATGTTTTTGTTCGACGATCGTATAATTTTTTCTCCATTTCGCTTGAGTTCGTTGAAACCGGAGCAATCTAACGATGTAGTGACCAGTGGGTTATTCGAGGCTGTTAGTGTCGCTATATTTTATTCCGTTGTATACAGTATCCTGGCACGAAATCGAGCTAATAACAAGATCGACATTACGGTATCCGAATAATTTATTTTTCTAGACGAGAGGCGAAAGAGAGAAACAGTATTCGTTTCACGTTCGTCTCGACACCAGTCGTCGCTCTAGTTCTTAATCATTCTATCTCCACTAGCTTCTGAACTGAGAAAACAGAGTTTAAAGTTTACGAAGTTCAATATTATCGAAGCAGGAAATTAGTGAAATAATCAAACATACTATAATATCGTCGATTGAATATCTGTTTACTACAATATTTAACAAAATTTTATCGTATTTTCAACATAAATTTTTAATTGTTGTTAAGTATTTGGAGGTAAAACAAAAAAAAAACTTTCAAAGTTTCGGAGTTAGAACATGAAAAAATATTTGTTGTTTTCTAGGTTCAATTTTATAACTGTTGAACTAACAAACCGATCAAAATAAGTTTTATGGGTGTCTATAGTGGAAACATAAGAGTACCTAATAAAAATTATTTCAGTTATGTAGGGAATATGTACGGATCGATGTATGTGTGTATGTGTATCGAGGTGACTCGACGCATGATATACGGCGGATCAAGAGTGTGGCGAGGCGATTCCGTTGGCATCGGAAACAAAAGAAGCGCGATTCCAACTGTCACGATGCGTCGCGTCTTTGGATGCCAGTTCGTCCTTCACTGCTCATCTCCATGCTGAGATCGAATAAACACCACTTATAATATACAGTTTTCTTTATTATCGCCCATTCTACAGTTAAGAAAAATATTTTTGAACCATTTCTTTTGCAATTGTTTTAAAGAAATGCAATTTTATAATAGTAGAACTCAATTGAATTGCAAAATTTGAGGGTATAGTCCCATTCAAAAAGATGCCCACTCTCAGTTTAGTACATGTTATAAATACATGTAATTAAGTTAAACCCTCCCGCCAACAAAGTGTTAATAGTTGTAAACATTGCTGCAGTATCACAGCATTTCTTTATGAAAACTCAGGAAATCATCGATGAGTGTTCGAATGCTTCCAATGCTTGCAACGAGGTTTAGCACAATGATACAGCTTGGAATGACGATGCCAATGATCTCTGTTTCAGCCGCGTATGGCCATTAGTTTGTGAAATATTTAATGTTCAGTGGCTGAGGAGTCCTCGAACACTCATCGAGGATTTACTATACCACGGTATCTCGTATTAGCCGCATGTTTCATATTCGGTGCCGTTGCTCTCTGCTATTGCACTGACCCACAATCGTTCATCGATCATTCCCCCCTCTGCTGACATTTCCCGAACGGAATCTGTTTCAGATTATGGCGCGGTCAAGCCGGGCCAACGCGAGAGGACAGACGTAGGCACGGATGAAGCGCAAGAAGGGTATCGAGGACGAGGAGGAGGAGGAAGACGAAGCAGAAGAAGACGAAGACGAGGGCGACGAAAAGGAAGAAGAAACTGACGAAGAATCCCGAACGAATACACCAACCACCGTCGTACGCGTACACGTGACACGCGAGCACAGTAGAACACGCCCCACTCCTCTGTTATCATCTCGGCCCGTGGGGGCCGTTTGATGCTGACCAAAAAGAGATTCGAGGACGATCCAACGCTGGCGGACGGGGAACGTAATGGGGGCACCGTGGTCACGGGCCCGGTCCTCACCTCGTCGTCCACGTGCACGGTGCCTTATATTGGCACAGATCATCATTATCATCATCATCAGCAGCAGGGCTTTCTGTTCGAGGGTGGCGGCACGACGACGTTGCAGTGGGCCGGTGCAACTGTCCCGAGCTGCACCGGTATCGGCGGAGGCGGCAACTTCGGTGTTGTCGGCACGGGGGGGAACGGCGGTGGAGGAGGGGTTCTTGCGTTAGGAGTGGTGAACATGGGCGGCGGAGGCGGAGGAGGCGTGGTCGTCAGCGGTAAACAGACCGTTGGCGGCGCGGGGGGAGGAGTCGTCGGCGTGACGGGGGGTGGTGGGCCGGCGATCGGTGGTACGGGTGGGACGAACAAGGAGGTCCGTTACGCTCCGTTCCCCTCCTCTGTGGGCCAAGTCGGTGGTAACGCGGTCGGATCGGTTGTGACGTTGCCGCCTCTGCCGCCGCCTCTGCCACCGCCCCCTCCGCCCCCGCCGCCTTTGCCACCGCCGCCGCCTCTGCCGTTGCAGATGCAACAGCAACGGGCATTTTCGCGATCGATGACATCGCTACCACCCGAGCCGTTCATGATCATGCGATCGAAAGCCCTGAATCGTCGCGTCTCGATCAACGTGGGCGGGGTGAAACATGAGGTCCTCTGGCGTACCCTGGAACGGTTGCCGCACACGCGTCTCGGCCGTTTGAAGGACTGCAACACCCACGAGGCGATCACCGAGCTGTGCGACGATTACTCGTTGATCGACAACGAATACTTCTTCGATCGTCATCCGAAATCGTTCAGCTCGATACTGAACTTCTATCGGACCGGGAAGCTGCATCTGGTCGACGAGATGTGCGTATTGGCGTTCAGCGACGATCTCGAGTACTGGGGCGTCGACGAGCTCTATCTGGAGAGCTGTTGCCAGCACAAGTACCATCAACGTAAGGAGCACGTGCACGAAGAGATGCGAAAGGAGGCGGAGTCCCTCAGGCAACGGGAGGAGGAGGAGTTCGGGGAGGGCAAGTGCGCGCAGTACCAGAAATGGCTGTGGGATCTGCTCGAGAAACCGACCACCTCGATCGCCGCAAGGGTGAGTTGCTGATCGTCGTCGCGAAAACGCGCGCCGCGAAACATGAGAGAACCACGTGTGTCCCTCTTCGGCGTATACAGGGTGTCCCGAAATGATGGGACAAGGCGCGTCATGCGTATACCCCATGGTAATACAAATCGAAAAGTCCTTTACTGTTTTGTAATTCGAAGCTCCATTTCCGAGATATTAACGGCTGAACGAACTTCAATCAGTTGAGCGGTTGGTTACATATACGTGCCGGCCGCTCAGCTGATTGGAATTCGTTCAAACGCTGATATCTCTGAAACGGAGCCTCGAATTACAAAACGGTAAAGGACTTTTCGATTTGTATTGGCACAGGGAATATGCATGTCATGGCTTGTCCCATAATTTTCGGACATCCTGTATGTATGTACCTTTTCTTTTAGATCTCGACGATTCCGAGATATGATATTCGTCGTCGCGCTCGTGGATTCGATTAGGGCTAATATATCAGGGTTATCAAAAGGGGGGAGGGTATTAGATGCTTCCGCGATCGTGTATCGTTCTGGACGGTGAAAACAAATTGTCGAATGGTATTCTGAGAATCGGGCTCTGAGCCGCGAGGAATTTGAACTTGGGCCAAAAACCCGGTTGCTTGCCGTAACGACTGCTGTGTGTCACACGGCATTGACGGTTACCCTCGCCCCCCTCCCCAAGGAGTCGGCCGTGTGTGTTGTTGATCGTGCTTGAAATTCTTTCAGTGTGTCGCTTCGTATCGGTTCGGACCTAGTTTCTGTGTCACGACAGAGCGCACCGTAGGGGGTCCACGCGCGATTAGACGCTATTTCTCGCTGTTACGTTCCTTGGGGATCAGATTGGAGAGGAAGTTTTTGTCACCCGCGTGTTTAACCCTTTCAGGGGCAAATTGTTCTGCCGAAGAAAATATGAAAAAAGAGTAGGTCATTTGGCGTGGATGCACTAGTGAATGAACAGGTACCAGTGAATGAACATTATACAGGGTGGTCGGTAACTGGCGTTACAACGGGAATGGCGGTGATTCTACGTGAAAAAATAAGTCGAAAAAGTGGAATAAAAATTTTTTCATATGAGATTTTGTTTTTCGAGAAAATTGACTTCGAAAATCAATCTGAAATGCGTGTATTCATCGTGTGGTAGTAAGTAGAAACGGAATGCAATGCACAGACGCGCTGGTCAAGGCCTGTTCAATTGCACCGCGTAGCCAACGGATTTTCAAAGTGGATTTGCTCGAAAACAGAGTCTCAGATGGAAAAATTTTATTCTGTATTTTCGACTTATTTTTCGATGTAGACATCACTTTCTTTTCCGGTTGTACTACCAGTTACTGACCACCCTGTATACAGGGTGTCCCACTTAACGTGTGCATCTTCAATATCTCACTTGTTTTTGAAGATACAAAAAAATGTGAGGGGATAATGTTATTTAGTTGGAAGGGGCCAATACTGTAATAAGCACAATAGTTTATATCTCGAATTTTATAGGTCATCGGTGTTTTTTAAACGGGCCTACATATTTTTATCATCGTGGCGTAATAGTTGAGATCGTTTGAAAATAAGTAATTGATTAAATATCGATTTTTTAAAAATTCTTTGTTTCATATTACAACAATTTTCGTGCCACTGGTCAAAAATGCTCATTTACTTAATATTGTTCGTTCACTGGTGACATCTGTAATATTTCTTATTAATTTAATTAATTATATTTTTCCAATTTTTCGATTTTAAATCTATACGTTATAAAGCGATATACATAGATAAGAAATCTAATTTTCATGTGCCAAATATTGATTAATATTATTATCATTTAAAATTCGACTATAATAGTTATAAAATCTTTTAAGTGTTCATTCATTGGTGCGTTCACCCTATAGGTCTTCGAAGGTTGCTGATTACGATTCTGAGTTCGGAATAACAAAATTCAAAATGGCAGATTCAATAATGGCAACTATTTTTTCGGCTAAATTCAACATTTCGCGTTCAATTTGTACAAAACCGAATATACAAAGATACTGACTGTCAAATTGCACAAATAGATCGGAAAAATTGAAAAAAAAAACAGAAAAAAGGGGGTGGTATGTACACATACCATAACCCCTGAAAGGGTTAACTGACGACGAACCATAATTTTGGTAATCTGTGACCTAGAGTTTTCTCTCGATTTTGGTGTACGATCGATAAATTCGATTTTCGATTCCCCTTGCGATCGAGGGAGGGCAAGGGGTGAGGGAGCTGATTTTCATTTTTAATTTTTTTCTATCTCTCTATCCGTTCGTCCAGAATTGATTTGCACGAGACGCAAAAAAAAAGTATGAAAAATCAAAGGATAGGATCTGCCCACGCGGTTTTACTTATCACCCGGGAATCTCGTCGCGATTGTGTTCACTAATCCACTTACGATGTCTCTCCACGTTTACAGTTCGTACTTGGAGCCCCTCGGTTTGACGAAAGGTACATGGCTAAGTTGACAGTAGAGCATCGAGTTATTTTCGACGTAGCTCACACCTTAATCATACCAAATAGACGAGAACGTAGTTGGGAACGTAATGTTCTTCCCGATCGTATGCGATCTCTTCGACACAGTCTCTCTGTAGATCGTTGAACTTCGCGATAGCGTATTCGGATCGAACGGGATTTCGATCTTGGCTTATCGACGGTGTTTTCGTTCTCTTCTTTCACCTCGAGGAATGAACCGAAAATATGATTCTTTCCGTGTTATCCCTTTTTTTAGTTTTTAATTTGTGATCCATACATTATTCTTTTTTCACCTCGAGGATGAACCGAAAATATGATTCTTTCCGTGTTATGCCTTTTCTTAGTTTTTAATTTGTGATCCATACATCATTGTTTTTTCACCTCGAGGATGAAACGAAAATATGATTCTTTCCGTATTATGCCTTTTTTTATTTTTTAATGCATGATCCATAATGCTCTGTTAAGGCTAATCGACGTATCCGCGAAAACGCTGTTACAATAATAATTATAATATTTATTCATTAACGGGTTATAAACCCTTTGGTACAATATACAAGTATGCGGAAGTGTAGAGGACAAATAGATAAAATTTAGATATAAATAACGTGTAAAGATATACGAGAGTTTACAAAAATTTATAGTGCTATACGGAAAGTTTAATTAAATTTAACATAGGCTTCATAGAAAAAAAAAGGTTGCGACAAGATCGAAATCACGTGGATTCGAGCATAGTTGATCGATACCCATCAATCAGACTTGAGTTTAGAGTAAACGCCCTCATCTTGTTATATACATAGTGTCGATGCATTCGTTCGTTCACATTGATCGAGTTCTACTCTTTAGAATACCATGTAAATATGTATACACGCGTATATACATGTATTGTGTAAATATATAAACCTTATATCTATATATATGTATATATGCAGGATGAGTCATTAAATCGATCCCTGCCCGCGAATATCTTCGAAATCGTTAACAATACCGAAAAATGTTTCAGATAAAAGTTGGACGGTTTCGAGGGGCGAATAATTCGATGTAGCAGTGTTTTTTCTAGGTGGACGCGTAGAGGATATACGAAGATCAAAATTGTTTATTTAAATGGAATCGTATATTTATTAGTACATTATTCGATGCAGCCGGTCATTCCCTTTAAAAGAGTATTAACATATTTATGCCGAAAAACCATTAGTTTCGGAGATATTTTAGTTTCAAAATTGCGAATTGGTACTAGTAATACGAATGTTTACCATTTTAACACCGGAACTACCAAAGCATTCGAAATGTCTCAGTCGTAAACTCGTCGAAAGCAAAACTTCTTCAAAATTTCTTTTACATATCATTTAGCAAACGAATCTTCCTAACTCCACAAAAAAACTCAAGTCACTTGGTAAAATTTTGAAAAAACGTTGGTCTCTTTGTGCCACGACATTTTCTACTCACTGTATCTCCTAAACTGAATTTCTTTTTTTTAAATAAAGAATTACCAACTGCATCGATTAACGCATCACAAAAATATACGATCCCAGTTAAAAAAGAACAAATTTGACCTTCATACATCCTCTACGCGTCCATCTACAAAAAGAAACTATACTTAAGTCAAATTATTCGTCGCTCGAAATCATTCAACTTTCATCCGAAACATCAGTCGATATTGCTAACAGTTTCGAAGATATTCGACGGAGGGAGCGATTCAAATGACTCACCATGTATACAGGGTGAGGCACCTAAAACAAACCACTTGAATATCCTGGCTGTTACTGGTGACAGAGAAAAATATGTCAGACCAAACTTCCATGGTATCTCGATAGTACATAATGTAATGTAAATACTCTTTCGATGGGTGGACCCGTAGAGGTCATATGAAGGTCAACTTGGTTTTTTTAAACGGAAAGTCCTGTTATTTTACATACCATCCAGTAGAGCGTTTTAAGATACATACAATTTATGAAGGCACGTAAACAAAACATGTCTTTCCATTTAAAAAACACCAAACTGACCTTCATATGACCTCTACGCGTCCACCTATCAAAAAACTATTCACATCAAATTATGCACTCCTCGATACCATGCAAGTTTGGTCTGACACATTTTTTTTCTATCACCAGCAACAACCGAGATATTCAACTGGACTGGGTTAGGTGCCTCACTCTGTATGTAAATGCGTGTGCGTGTGTGTGTGTGTTTATGTACAGAAAAACACACGTAGAGAATTAAATAGAAACAACGCGCGAATAAGACACACACCCACACACACATATAGAGAGAGATCAAAGACTGCTAGACGACGCCGATTGAGTATCCTGCTGATTTAACTGCCGTGCCCGGTTGTGTCGATGTCTGTAATGTGTATTTTATTTCTAGGTGGTGTTTACTGACCATCTCTCCCCCCCCCCAACTCCGTTTAACTAATCTCATATATACATCACGTGTAATCCAGCTTCTTATAGTTGTTTGTCGCGTTCAGAGTGTCCGTCGCCTAGAAAATAATACATCGTCATCGTCATCAACATCATCGTGTCCATAATA